TTTGTCTTAAGATATTTATTGAGACAGCGTCTCAATGTGTAGACCAGGCTGGCCTCAAACTCACAGAGATCCGCCTGCCTCTGCCTCCTGAGCGCTGGGACTAAAGGTGTGCGCCCCACACCTGACCAGTGATTTACTTAAGAAAAGGAAAACAGCATGAATTCAGAAGCAGGGTCAGGGCTTCCCAGAAAGAGTTGGAGGTGGGGATCAGGGTGAGCAGTTGGAGGCCTGGGCATGACATGAATGCATTGTACTGAATGTATGAAGTCCCCAAATAAATCGTTTTAAAGCCACACAAAATGATGATCTGATGGATTTTCTCCCACTGACCATGTGCCCTGAAGGCTGACACCAGGTTCTTACAAAGAAAGACCCTGAGCTGCGTGGTGGCAGTGGTGGCGGCGGGCATGCCTTCAACCCCAGCACTCACTCAGGAGGCAGAGGCAGGTGGATCTCTGTGAGTTCAAGGCCAGCCTGGTCTACAGAGCGAGTTCCAGGACAGCCAGAACTGTTACACAGAGAAACGCTGTCTTGAAAAACCAAAACAGACAAACAAACAAAAACCCCAAACCGAAAGAAGGAAAAGAAAGACCTTGTCTGCCATTTTCTATGCTGTGCAACCCTGTCTTGTGCAAAGTTCAGTTCTACCCATTCAAAGACGAGCGTCAGGAGATAACCAACATTACCAAACCACTCACCCCTCCAAGAGGAATTATCTGGGCCAAACCTAAGTCTCTCCTGAGATAGGCACGTGAGCCCGAGTTTACCTACCTGCCACAATCTGGTTCTTAGTTATTGTTTATTTGTTTAATTCAAGACCCCATCCTGCTACATATCCCAGGCCTACCCCCGGCTTGCAATCCTCCTGTCTCTGCTTCCGGGTGCTGGCTGGGCTCACAGGCTGCCCTTGCACACTGAAGGTCTAGGTAGGTCTGCCACCCCTCCGGTGCACTGCTGACAAGGCTCACAGCTGCCTCCCCCTCCCAGGTGTACTCATGTACCGGGACTACCCTCTGGAACTGTTCATGGCCCAGTGCTACGGCAACGTGAATGACCCAGGCAAGGGGCGCCAGATGCCTGTTCACTATGGCTGCAGGGAGCGCCACTTTGTCACCATCTCCTCTCCATTGGCCACGCAGATCCCTCAGGGTAAGGACACGTGCTTCGTGCATGCGATTCCTATAACACACCTCTGTGTGTCAGGCCCAGCCTACTAGTTGGAAGCTGGCTACTGTTAGAGCCTGGCCTGTGTCCAGGGCTCTCAAGGGACCGCTCAGAGGAGGGCTCCACGGTACCCATCTCATGCAGCAGCCCTGAGTGATCACAGCCACACTGGACTTCCCAGGTCCCGGCTCTTCCCTCTGCTCCTCCTCCTCTTCTCCATGCCTGCAGGACCAGGCACTGTCTGATGACACTGGCAGTTACTGTGGTGGTAAATGCTATCGTGGATTACTATCGCTGTTACAAAGAACAGGAAACTGAGGGCGAAGAAGGAAGTGACTTACTGGGGTCTTGTGGAGGGAGGGTAGGAACTCACTCGTGGGTTCTTGTGACTACAGAGCCCAAGTTCTACCCTGCCCTGGCTAGCCTTGGTTCTCAGAGCCAGAGCATGCTGTAGGTGACCTGAGACCCCTGGCTGCCAGGATGCCGGGCCTGTGCCCACGCAACACACAGACCAAGGATTAGCCCTCCTGTGCCCCCCCCCCCCCGGGCCCAGAGTCTGATGGGAGATGTATGTCACAGCAGCTGTGTGGCTTGTGAGTCTGCGGAGAGGTGGATGACAGAGCTCTCTCTGAGCTGGCCTTGGCCTCGCCTTCCATTGTGGCACCGTAGAGCCCCTCAGTCAGCAGACGTGTGGAATGGCCACTGTGTACCCGGCGTGGCCTTGGCTTTCTGGCCCTGTTGATACTGATGTTGGGTTGGGGGAGAACTGTAGGAAAGAATGAAGAGCAGTGTCTACAGTGCGTCATGCAGGTGATGGGAAAGCCAGGCAGGGCAGTGTCTGTAACAGGTCAGGGCGCCACGTGGTTTAACTAGAAGCAGTGTGGAAGGGGGCTCTGTGGGCACCCTGCGGCAGTCGTGTGTTTAGTTATGACGGACTAAGGGTGTGTGTGTGGCTGGGGTACAGAGCACGTGGGGCCTAGTGGCCTTTGCGTATTGCAGAGACCTGAGAGGCCAGAGTTAGGAAGGGGTCTGCCAGGCTCCCTTGGATGACAGATGAAGGAAGGGGCAGTGGGCTACTCAGTAACTAGGGTACGAAGTGCTGGTGGCTTGGCCTTGGTTGGAGAAGGTCCAGATCTGGCTGCCCTTTGAAGATGGTGTAGATGTGAGCATGGCAGACGGGAGTCAGGGGCGATGCACATTTTGCCCCGAGCAAATGGAAGGATGGTATTGTAGTCAGCTGAGAGGTAGAAGGCTGTGATAGGCATGCCTTTGGTACTCTCTCTATGTGTGTGTGTGTGTGTGTGTGTGTGTATTCCTATTCATGCCCTTCGTGCATGTTTCCATGCAGCGGTGGGGGCAGCCTATGCTGCTAAGCGGGCCAATGCCAACCGGATCGTGATCTGTTACTTTGGCGAGGGGGCAGCCAGTGAAGGGGATGCCCATGCCGGCTTCAACTTTGCTGCCACCCTGGAGTGTCCTATCATCTTCTTCTGCCGGAACAATGGCTATGCCATCTCCACACCAACCTCTGAGCAGTACCGTGGGGACGGCATCGGTAAGGGCCTGCTCCCACCCGCTCTCTTCCCTGTTCTCTCCCCATGGTGTCTGACCGGGTGAGGGCACAGGAGGCAGTGAGTGGGAATGCTTCGTCCCCTCCCTTCCCCCCTTCTCCCCGAGGCCTGACTGGTACCCTCTCTGTCCCTGCAGCGGCTCGGGGCCCTGGGTATGGCATCCTGTCAATCCGTGTGGACGGCAACGATGTGTTTGCAGTGTATAATGCCACCAAGGAGGCCCGGCGGCGGGCTGTGGCTGAGAACCAGCCCTTCCTCATTGAGGCTATGACCTACAGGTGCCCGTCTCCCTTCCGTCACTGCGGCCACAGCTCTGGCCAGCCCTGCCAGGGCCCCCAAACATGGCACCGTCACCCCAAATCGCAGTCCCTCTCCGCTTGATGTCATTCCTCTGCCTTTTTCTGGCCCCACCCCCCGCTGAACCACATCTCCTCCCCTGAGCAGGATTGGGCACCACAGCACCAGTGACGACAGCTCGGCATACCGTTCAGTGGATGAGGTCAACTACTGGGACAAGCAGGACCACCCCATCTCCAGGCTGAGGCAGTACCTGCTGGGCCAGGGCTGGTGGGATGAGGAGCAGGAGAAGGCCTGGCGGAAGCAGTCACGGAAGAAGGTGAGGGCCCCTTGAAGTCGCCGCTGCACCTGCCCCCCCCCCCCCCCCCGTGTGTGCTCCCCTGGCTCCTGCACAGGCAGAACTCTGGGAGGATGGGAGTGCAGGGCCTGGGTGCTCGCACTGAGTGCCCATGAGTGGCCCCTGGAGCCAAGCTGCCTGGACAATACGGCCTCAGTGAGTCTTCAGAGTGGAGCCCAGAGCAGGTCGTGGGAAGTAGGTGTGGCCAACTGGGCGGTGGCTGGAGCTGGCGTCCATCCTTGGTGGACTAAGGGCAGGCTGCTGTGGCCTTAGGCTGCACTGTGGGCACTGGCTTAGCCCTGACGCCATCGCCCTGAGGAGTCCTTCCCTTCTCTGCGCCCTGAGCCTCTACTCCTGCTCCCTACCCTGTCCAGCTGCTCAGCGCAGGGCCAGGTCCCTGCAGGCCAGAGCTGGGGATCTGGAGTGTTGGCTAATCCCAGGCTGAGGCCTCGAAGGGGAGGGGAGGGGAAGAGGACGGCCACTTCTTACCACCGTTTCCCCCAGGTGATGGAGGCCTTTGAACAGGCTGAGCGGAAGCTAAAGCCCAACCCGAACCTGCTCTTCTCTGACGTGTATCAGGAGATGCCAGCGCAGCTCCGAAGGCAGCAGGAGTCGCTGGCGCGGCATCTTCAGACCTATGGGGAGCACTACCCCCTGGACCACTTTGACAAGTGAGGCTCTAGCCACCCTGGGGTGGTCCTGCTCTGAGTGGAGCAGGGTGCTCCACTAGTCAGCTCTGCTCACAGGCTCAGTGGCCAGGGCGGCTCCCGCTCTCCATTCCTGCTCTTCCAGGCTGTCTGACTGTGGCACAGTGTTTGCAGCTTTGCTGAGGCACGGTCACCCTCTTCACCTGTTACAGTGCCTTTCAGGGGTGGGACCCAGGCCAGGGGAGCAGGTGCCCTGGATCTGCCCGGAGCCCGAGCTGGTCAGTAGTGAATAAACTGGGGCTCTGTCTTTGACTCTGTTTCCCTGCTCTGTCTCCTCAAGTTTGGGGGCTGGGGTGCGTGAGGGGGTATATGGAGGGGAGAGGCCAGCATGACTGATTGGCTTTTTGTGACAGGATCTCACTGTGTAGCCCAGGTTGGCCTGGGATTTGTGAGTGATCTTCTCGCTTTAGCTTGAGTTCTGAGATTATAGGTGTACACTACCACACCAGCCTTTGCAGATAGCCTAGACCACCACACCAGCCTTTGGGGATAGCCTAGACCACCACACCCAACCACACCAGCCTTTGGGGATAGCTTGGACCATCATACCAGTCCTTGAGGATAGCCTGAACCATCATACCAGCTTTTGGGGATAGCCTGGACCATCACACCAGCCTTTTTGAGGATAGCCTAGACCACCACACAAGCCATTGGGGATAGCCTGGACCACCACACCAGACTTTGGGGATAGCCTGGCTTTAGGCAGGAAAGCTTAAGGCTTAGAGATCCTACTTCTATAAACTTTCCCAAGCTGGAAGGCAACTTTGGCACATGGGTCCTCCAGAGCCCTCCCATGGGCTGGTATAATAAGCCTGCTGTCCAGCAAAGTGTCCAGGGGGTGTCCAGTGTGAAGGTGTGGGGTGCAACATCATCTGCCGTCCCTGCAGGGGTTCCACATATGAAAAAATAACTCTGGCCTCAGAGTAGGGTGGACATAGTTTTCAGAATTAGAAAGTAGGGGAGCACAGTCTGCCACCTTGTCTAGCCTGCCCAGTTCTTGACGAGGAAGGATTTAGGAGGGGCTGGGGGGTGCTCAGCATCCCCACCCCACCCTAGCTTGTCTCTGAGGCTCAGCACTGGAGCTCTGGGCCCCACAGGTGTTTCCAGAGCCTGATGGTGTCCTGGGGGCTGACTGGATGAACCAGCAGCAGGCCTCGGATTGTGCAGGGGTCCCTGGTGCGGTCTGCTGGCCAGGCTGTGAGGAACCCTGGGTGGGCCCGGGGCACTAAGCCCAGGGCTCGGAAGCAGAAGCCAGTGTAGACGTCATCAAAGGGGAAAGGGACCACACGGGCTGCTGCCTGCAGCAGCCAGGGGGCCAGGCGTCCCGAGATGACATAGCCACCTCCACTGGCATAGGCTGGATAGTCTCCTTCAAAAAAGGTCTTGGGCACATAGAAGGGTTCTCCAGGCTTGCGGAGCGGCTTGGCCTGGGTGAAGACCTCACCCAGGTAGAGGCTGCGGGCCCAGGTGGGTGGCAGGGTCTGCAGGTGCTCCAGCAGGGCAGGGGTATGCACGAAGGCATCGTCCTGAACCTGCAGGACAAAACTCACATCGGGGCAGTGGTGGCTCAGCCAGGTCAGCAGCAGAAGGTCTTTGAGTGTCCGGTTGTAGGGGACGTCCAGGAAGTCCCAGAGCAGCAGGTCGCCATAGTGCTGGCTCTCCCATGCCACCAGTGATCTTAGGTCAGGCCCCCCCATTCCTAGTGGTGACCCCAGCAGGAAGAGCAACCGGGTCTCAGCGACTGCGCTGCCCCAGGTCTCCCTCACAGCCTGCCTTGCTGCAAAGTGTCCCGGTTCTGACTTGACAGCCAGGAGCAGGTAGGGGACATCCTTATCAGAACAGCTGGCCACCGGGCTGCCCCCGCCTGCAGGCAGCCACAGAGGGAAGGTCCTACAGGCTGCTGACAGCAGGAAGCGCTGAAGGTCTTGGGGGTACAACAGGAAGTCCAAGATCTCCGAGGCAGCAGCAGTCCCCCAGGTCCGGCAGTCCGTACTGGGCAGGGCTCCCAGGTTCCGCTGCTGCTGGTTCCAGTAAGCAAAGGACAGTGGGCCAGTCTGACCCAGGCGTGCTGAGAGGTTGATGGGCAGGGTGGGCTCAGCATTGGGTGGTGTGGAACTGAGCAGGGTGCCCCGGGGTTCAGCCTTGTTAAGCCAGGACTCGGATGTCCACTCGATGTACACTTTGAGGCCCAGGAGGGTGAGCAGTGCTAACAGGCAGAGCTGGCACTTGCGGCAACGCATGACCCGGCCCAGGGAAAGGGCCACCAGTGGGGCTGCAAGAGTCACAAGGAGCCACAGAGGTCTTTAGGGTGCAGGGTGGATCTCCAAAGAGGGCCCGGCTAAACCCAGACGAGCAGCCTGGAGCCTACCCAGTCCAGCTAGGTTGCGACCCCGACCCTAGACATCCTGGCCTGCGGTACCGGACTGTCACGTTTTCCTAGACCGAGTCCCCCACCCGCATCCCATGCTTTCACTTTCCTTCAGTGTCGCTTCAACGCCATTCCTACCCCTTTCCCCCACTCTTCTGTCTCCTCACAAGTTCCAGCTCCCCGGGGGAACCCCTTTTACCTTCTTGGAAACCTACCTACCTCCTCCAGTAACCCCACCCCAGGGCCCGGGGACCCGGGTACCTCTGGGTTCGCCTTCCGCCAGCTCGGGGGGCAAGGGGGGGGGGATCCTCGGGTCAAGCCCTGCCGGGACTCCCTGCTCGCAGCTGCGCGTCCTCAGGCTGCCCGCCCAGCCCGCGCTCGAGTCTGGAGGGGCGGGCGGGAGGGGAGGAGGCGGGAGGGCCCCTGGGGCCGGGAGGAGCCGGGGCGGGGCCGGGAAGGGAAGGGGAGGCCGACGGGGAGACGCGCCCTGGCGAGTTAGGGCTGGTTTTCTGGTGAGACGTCGGGAAAGGTGCAGGGATGGCCAAAGCCGCGGACCCGGACTCTGCGAGAGCCTGGGGGAGAATTCTAGGGAAGGGGATGCCAAGCCAGCTGGCATGAATGATCCAGAGACGGTCTGGGTTCCAAAGAAGAGAGGGAGGCCAAAGGGACTGGTTCGAGGCTACCGCCAGGAGGCGTCGTGACTGCTGCGAGCGGGGGTGGGGGGGTTTTGGGGGGAGTGGGATGGTGGGGCAGGGGTGGTGGAGGGCATGTTTGCAGGGGCCGCGAGGGGTAGAGAAACCCGGGGAGACCTTAGCGGGCAACTAGAAGAGAGAAAGGATGAGGCAGGAGAAAGACGCACAGGTGGCGGTTTCAGAACAGAGACTCGTCGGGGGAGCCTGGGAGGACGCAGAGAAGAAAAGAAGGACCAGGGAGAGGGGGAGAGGGGGTAGGCCAGGAGAGCAATAAGAGGTGATAAAGTAGGGTGAACTGAGAGCTCTGAAGCTGGGCTTCTGCACCTCCTCCAACTTGTGCACGAGCCACTACCAGCCTAGCACCTCCATCCAGATGGGAGGCGCCGGCCCTGCGATGCTCTGGGCTTTCCGCCACACCCCTGGGGCAGGAGGGTTTCTGACTGTTTACTCCCCTGCTCTGCAGTTGAGGCTGTGCCAGCAGTCTGGGGAGGCCAGCAGGTGGGGCCTTCTCAGATCTCTAGGGACCTAGGTTGGGAGGAAGCCTGCTCCCCACCCACCAAACGCGGGCTGACCCCTTGCAACTACCTGGTTTGGAGGACTGTCCAGATAGAACAGGAACCCAGTGTACCAGCGCCGAGCCTGTTATCTGTCCAGCCCTGATTTCCTCCCTCCAAGTTCGAATAATGGAGCCCGTGGGAACAGATGGAGGAAGAGAGCGGGGAGGAAATGGGGAATGCTAATGGAGTAAGTAAGAGCTAGCTAGAGTGGGGACAAGAGCCAAGGGCCAGGCAGGGCCAAGCCCACCCCACCCCAGGGCCGTGGGAGATGGGAGAGGCCGGTTAAGGCCTCTGAGCGCTCCCTCTAGGGCACTGAGGCTCTGTGACTGGCATCCTCCTCCTGGGGCCTACAATCTCCTGGGAGGCAAGCAGTGCTGGTTGCTGAGTGCAGCCGTGGTCCAACCCAGAGAGGCCACACAGCTCCTCGAACCAGGAGGGCTCAATAGAAAGCCGTGATTAACAAGAACATGGGACTGAGAAAGGAAGGGTCTGAGGCAGAAGATTACTTTTGGGGACCATAGTTTGGGACATTTTCACTATCGGCTCCCACATCAAGCCTGGCCATTTCTAGTTTCTAGGCTTTATTAACCGTAGGGCGTGGTTGGGTTCATGTTCCAGTCAGCCAGCCAATCTGTCAGACCACCTGTGAGGCACAGGGTAACTCATTAGAGCCAAAGAGCACACCTGTTCAATAGATTTGGCCCAAGTACCCTCACCACACTCCAGAGTTCTACCTATGCATGCCACATTCTTTCTCTTCCGTATATGGGTATTTTGCCTGCATATATGTCTGTGCATCCGTTTCATGCCTGGTGCTGCGGAGGCCAGAAGAGGCCACCAGATGCCCTGAACTGGAGTTAGATAGCTGTGAACTGCCATGGGGCTGCTAGGAGTTAAACATGGGCCCCTGCCAGAGCAGTCAGCGCTCTTAACCACGAAGCCACCTGCCAGCCCTTCCCTTCTGTCTTATTTTGTATTCCGTGTGGTCCTCTGGCTTCAGCTTCCTTAGTGCAGGGATGTTGGTTTTGGGGGAGTACTGAGTGTTAAACCTAGGGCCTTGTGTATGCCACCACTGAGCGATACTACATCAGCTGGTGTCTTGTTCTTATCAGTCGGGGCACAGGAGACGCCTCCTCCTCGAACAAGTGGATTTGATCCTAGGGTTTATGGCTTTGTTACAGTAGAGGACACTCTTGAGTCTGTCTTCATTAATGAATGTTGCAAAGTAAACCTGGTATGCAGAGTAAATTCCAGGACAGGTAAGAGTTATATGGAGAAACCCTGTCTCAAAAAATAGAAAAGAAACAGAATAAAAAAGCCACAGATGGAGAGAATCTGGATACTGTACGGTATTATATTGTCTTTGTATTGTTTGACTGCTGAGGAAACAACTGTTAAAACAAATGCTGCTGAATTAATTCAAATTATATATTTTAAAAATGCTTTGACTCAAAAATTTAAGTTCAAGGACAAGCTACTGGGGAAAAGGATTTCTATTTTTGTTTCCACAGAAAATAAAAAGCTGTAGATTCCTTCCAGACTAATGTGGTTTGGTCAAGCCAGACCCCCTGAAACAGACTCGCTGGTGATCCGACATTCAAAACAGCTTGGACAAAGCAGCCTTGCAGACTACAACCAGGATTTCTGCGTCTTCTTAGGTTTCCCCCATGACAGCGCCCTTTACCAGCAGGAAGTAGTTTGGAAAGAACGACGCCTAAATTCCCAAATATTGTTTATAAATGTTTGTTTTCATTTAAATGGGATTGGTTATAAATGGTTAATGATCACAGCCAATTCTTTTTAAAGGTAAAAAGGGGATTATGGTATACATATGAATACTTTGTTTTGGAATGGATTTTCATTTATTGATTACTTTGTTTTGGAATGGATTTTCATTTATTGATAAAATTTAAGGTCAATTTTGTGATTAAATATATTTCTCCTCTTGTTTAGATGTTGTGTTTATATAACTCAGAAATGTAATATATAATTTAGTACAGATTTTAGATAGCTACCCATAATAGTCAAAACTTATAGTTAAGTTAGTTAGGATTTCTAGATATACAGAGATGTATTTGAGATGAATAGGCATTCTTCAAACCTTTCAAAGACCTACAGAATATGGCATTTAAAATGGCTTAGGGTTTTCCTTGACAATGAGACATAATTGCTCCTGGCAATACCACCTGCACCAGAAAGGAAGATGGAAGATGGACATAGAAGAAACATGTTATGAAGTTTGCTTTCAATATAGCAAGACTAGCCATTTGGACAAGATACTGCTCTTGTCTAGACTGTTTGACTTTATGCTCTATAAACTGGACATGCAGGACACACAGAAAAGTGATGCTGATTCAAGATGGACATTGCTATAGAGTTCCTGCTTCATGGAAGAGTCTGCCAGACAGTCTGCAGGACACAGAGGAAAGTGACTGACAAACTGCCAATACAAGAAGACAGTTTGAAGTTTCCTGCTTTGCTGAAGAGTCTGCCAGACACACTATGGCCTATGGGCTGAAGATGGAAGATTACAAAAGAACTTCGGGTGACCAGGCAGTGAGTTGTCTCTGTCATTTCTAGAGTTTATATATTATCCTTCTGTGGTCTTTGATGGAGTTGAAGACAGATAGTTATGGTTATAGTTTTCCTTAGTTAAGCTTAAAGATAAGTTACATATATGACTTTAGACTCACAAATATAGGATAGATGACAGAATAGTTTCTTTTAATCTTGCTAAATGTTAATGGACTAAATATTGTGGTTCTTATTTGATAACTGTTATGTGATATATTTTGCTATGTTAAGGTTAAAACCCTCTTTTTATTTAGACAGAAAAGAGGTGATGATGGGAGATGCCATTATGTATATATGTTTCTCATACTGGTTAATGAATAAAGCACTGTTGGCCAATAGGAAAGCAAGATAGGCAGGACTAGGAGACAAGGAGGAAAGAGGAAGTAGTAAGTAAGGAGTCAAGATGGCGAATCTGGAGAGAATAGAACCTCCAGCTGCCTCTCGCTGGTAAGACCACGTGGAAATACATAGAAATGGGTTAATAATTAAGACAGAGCTAGCCGATAAGAAACAAGTACCTGGCCAACAGAATTGTATCAAATACAGAGTCTCAATATGTTATTTGGGGTTGGCTCGGCGGCAGTGGCAGGACAAGACCAGGCAGCCGGCAGAAAAACCCTACACCTTACAGATAGGGTCTCACACTGTAGTCCAGGCCTGGGACTTACTTTGTACATAGACTTGTCTCTCTTCTGCTTCCTGAATGCTTTCTGGGGGGACTAGAGGGATGGCGAGGAAGGTAGGAGCACTGGCTGCCCTTTCAGAGGACCTGGGTTTGATTCCCAGCACCCACATGGCAGCTCACAACTTCCTGCAACCCCAATTCCAGGGGATCCAAGGCCACCTCTGGCTACTATGGGCACTGCACACATGGTGCACTTATTTCCAAGCACATAATAAATTAGAGCCCAGGTGAGGTCATCACCTGATGGTTCTACTGACTCCTGGGCATCGGCAAAAGAGACCTGGAGTGGTTGGGGCAGGGATCAACCCCATTCCAAGAATGAATCCTGGGGCTGCCGTGAGCTCTGAAGTTCTCAGCCTGTTCTCTCTCTCATAGACACCTCTGAGCACTCAAGCGTGCTCCCCCAAACCCCAGCACCCACACCATCTTTGCAGCCACAGCTGTCAGCACAGCAGCTACGGGCACATGCTGCAGTTGGCAGCTTGCTGGCATCAACCAGGTGGCCTGGGACACCCAGCAGGCCAGGATCTCGAGCATGCCATTTATTTATTCTCCAACAAGGAGCTTACTGCTATGCTCTTGCCCAAAGTCCCAGCCCTCCCAAATCCATTTTAAACTTTATCTCCAGAACTACACACCTGCTGCCACCTGGATCCAGTTGGGAGGAAAAGCCACAGGGTAATGCAAACAGGGAAAGTTTAATATAAAGAATCATACACTTGCATGGCGCATTGGAGCCATAAGAGTCACTGGTAACCCTGGCCTTCCCCTTGGGGTCTCTCCAGTGCCCTCTGCTGACGAAGTCTGTTGTGCGGCTAAGAGAACATTTCCCCAACCATTCATCATTTTCACAGAGCAGGACACTACACTTGAAGGTAAGTCAGTTCATCAATAGGCGTCGCCACGGGGCTTGGGGTGCTGCCAGCCTTTAATGAGTGTGGGCAAGGATGCTGGCCAACTGTGGCGCTGAGCAGCCCTGCACCAGGAGGAACCGGCACTGTAAAGGGCCAGCACCATCTCCTGTCAGGCCCAGTCCCTGCTGACATGTATGTGACAGTTAGGGGAGTGGATGTTCTTGATGAACAGGATAAGGAGAAACAGGAGCTGGGAACAGCTGGGCATGGAGGACTGTCTGCCACAGCATGGCTGTTGGCCAGCTGCAGGCAAACACCAGTCAGTCCCCTGACTCGGCGTTCTTATTTCACAGCAATCCTTTGTGTTGAATGAACCCCATTGGGAGCCAGGGTGAGGAGACATCACACTCTACAGAGCCCCGCAAGGTCCTGCAAGACTGGGGCCACAGGCTAGGGAGAGACGGGGCTAGGTGTGTCCCCAGGCTGCCGGTCTGGCTCCAGCTTCAGGCCCTGGGCCCAGTTAGTGCCAAGGACCTCACAATGGGGCAACATCTCTTCTACCAGGATCTGAGTTAGGGCTGGGTGGGACACGGCAGGGAGGTCTGAGATGTCCAGCCTGCGGAGGTTCCTGCAGGGTAAGAAGGACAGATGTGAGCGTGGCATCTGCGCGTGCGTGTGTGTGTGTGTGTGTGTGTGTGTGTGTGTGTGTGTGTGCGCGCATGTGTGCGTGCCTGTGCACGCGCGGAGGTTCCTGCAGGGGTAAGAAGGACAGTGAGTATGGCATTTGCATGTGTGTGTGTGTGTGTGTGCACGTGTGTGTAAGCACATGCATGCTAAAGATGGAACCCAGGGCTTTACACATTCTGCAGCTGGCCTACACCTTTAGCCCTTACTGGTACATTCTAAGCAAACTCTCTAGCTCTGCCATGTTCCCAGCCCTTCACTGGGGGATTTGAGGCAGGGCCTCCACCACTGAGTTACACCCTTAGCCCTCCAGTAAAACTCTATGTAAATATGTGAAATTTACTGCTGACTCTGCCTCTTCTCTCCTGGGACTGTGTGTCTACCACAGAGTTTCCATCCATACAGAGGAAGAACCCAGGATTCAGTTCTTTCTGAAGACGCAGAATGCTCACCTACCACAGGTACTAGATCGCAACACTGAAGGTAGAGGCTAGTAGCACCTAGAATCCCCTCCCAGCTCTGGGCACAGGGCCAGCCCAGCAGAGGTCTTACTGGAGGTGGTGGAGGCAGGCCAGGCCCCGTTCTGAGACGTGGGGACACCCAGCTAGCGAGAGCTCCTGCAGTGAGTCAGCCAGCAGGTAGAGGCGGCTGAGGCACCAGTCATCCACATTGGGGCAGCGCTGCAGGGACAGGGACCGCAGTTTCTGCAGGGGCAGGAGGTTACTCATGCCCTGGTAGTTGATGGCACAGCCACTGGCATCCACAGCCTCCACAGGCACCTCCTGCAGCTTCAGGAACTCGATAGGGAAGTTGCCACGCTCATTTGGACGGATCCACTCCTTGTCTTGAAACCTGGAGTGAAGAGCAGGGTGATGGCTCTGCCTGGCTTCCCAAGCTTGGCCACCCTGGCAGTGGTGGCAGGGTGACACCCCCCTCATTCCATCCGTCACACAGGACACCAGAAGCCCCAGATGCTGCTCAGCATCAGAGCCAAGAACTGAGGAGGACATGCTGCGTGCCTGGGCCCAGCGCTGGTGAGACCGAGACAGCAGCATTGGGAATTCAAGGCCAGCCTGAGCCACCTCCCCCTCCCCAACACACAGGAATGGAAAGAGCTACCTGCGTGAGTCCTTGCTGACAGCTGTTCTAAGGCACACATCTCATCCTATAGAAAGGGCCTGACACCAAGGCTGACAGCCAGTTAGTTTCTCGGGGCCCCATGGAGGAAGAATTAACTCCTTCACGTTGTCCTCTGACCTCCACACACACACATCTCCACACACTACGTAAGTAACTGTCAAAAAATACATCATTAAATAAAGACAGGGGAAAAAGGAGCAGAAAGAAAGACCTTCTCATCTGTTCGTTTGAGGCAGGGTCTTGAGTCTCGGTATGTAGCCCAGGCTGGCCTACAATTTCTCTCTTCTGTTTTAGCCTCCACAGCTGGGGTCTCAAGCGCATGCCACTATGCCCGGTTAGGAGGTATACTCGATCCACCCTCCTCTGCCTCCCCGGAGCTGGGGTTAGAGGAGTGTGACACCATACCAGGCAGATAAACACTTATTTAAGGTGGGTTTTGCCATGTAGCCCAGGTTGGCCCTGAAATCATCCAGAGTAGCTGGGACCAAGGCTTTGCATATCACCCAGATGCCTGGAATGACTGGGTACCGACATGTTTCGCCTCATGACATCTGTGTAGACCGAAATCCCAGTCTTCAAAGCAAACCCTGTATTAGCAATGCCGTACACTATTCTTTTATTTACGGTGTGTTTTTGAGACTGGGTCACACTATGTAGCCCTGGCTGCCCTGGAACTCGCTTTGTAGATCAGGCTGGCCTAGACCCCAGAGATCTTCCTGCCTCTGCCTCCAGAGTGTTGGGATTAGAGGTGTGTGCCACCATGGCTAGCTGTACATGATTTTTTATGTTTTTTAAAGAGGGAGCCTTAAGATATAGCCTAGATGGCCTAGAACTCACAGAGATCCGCCTGCCTCCGCTCCCATGTGCTGGGATTAAAGGGCTGGCTGTCAGTTTAAAATTTATTTGTGTGTGTTTGTATGTCTTTGTGCATGTGTACAAGTGTGCATGCATGTAAGCCAGTGGTTGATGTCCGGATCACCATCAGTTGCTTTTCTACCATGTTCTGAGACAGAATCGCTCACTTAGAGCTTGTTAGTCAGGCTAGGCTGAACAACCAGCCCGAGCACCCCAGGGTCCACCTGCCTTTACCCACTTGGTACTGGGGTCCAGGTGTACTCCACCATGCCTGGTGTTTACAGGGGCGCTGGACTCATGTCAAGACAGCAGAAATGCTCCCCCTCCCACATCCCGCCACCACAGCCGTCATACTTCACTGCGCCTCCTTGCTTCAGGATGAAGAGGGCACCTGTGACATACGGGCCGTATTTCTCCTGGATGTTAGGGAAAGACCTGTGGGGAAAACGAGGGCAAAGGTGAAGCCGGGTGCTCTCACTGCCTGCCAGTTCTACGAGGAGCAGACTCCAGGGCGGCAGGCAAATATTGACTAGCCTGGTTGCAAACCCAGCGTCTACACCGTGCTGTGTCCTGGGATCACAGTGGACAGAGTACACAGCTGTCTCTGCCTCTGATGACCCACCGGGTGGAGACAAAGCAAGGAGTAGCCAGGCATTGGTGCCACAGACTTTAATCCCACACTCGGGAGGCAGAGGCAGGCGGATCTCTGTGGGTTTGAGTCCAGCCTGGTCTACAGAGTGAGTTCCAGGACAGCCAGGGCTGCACAGAGAAACCGTTTTGAAAAACAAACAACAACAACCAAGAGACTGGAGATGGCCTAGTTCCGTTGAGAGTACTTGCTGCTCTGCAACTGCAGAGTATTCAGCTGGGTTCCTAGTACCTAAATCCCGTGGCTCACAACCGCCTTTAACTCCAGCTGCAGAGGACATGGCGGAAAGCAAGCAGTGTGAGAGCGAATGTGGTAACTGCTGGTCTGAGTGAGAATGGCCCTCAGACACACAGGGCCGAATGCTTGGTCCCCAGCTGGAACTGTCTGGGATGTGTCACTGGGGTGGCACAGGCTCATGCTCTCTCTGGACTTGCAATCTGTGGGTCTCAGCTACTGCCCCAGAGCCACGGCAGCCTCCCGCCATGTTCCCGTCATGATGGTCATGGATGACGAGCGATGTCTTTCTGCATACATGTTTCTCTTATTGGGTGATGAATGAAACACGGATTGGCCCGTCACGCAGAAAGCATAGCTGCCAGACCAGGGGAAGGCTGGGGAGAGGAAGGCAGAGAGAGGGATGCCATGCTGCCAAAGGAATGACATGCCGTATTGTAGGGAAGCCACAGCTTCGTGGCAATACACAGATTAATCGACATGGGTTAATGGAGGGAGGGGGAACTGGGATTGATATGTAAAATAAGGAAAAAAATAAAAAATAAAAAAGAAAGTAAAAAAGAAAAAAAAATAAAGAAATGCGTTAGTAATTAAGATAGACCTAGCCCATAAGAAGCTGGAGCCATCGGCCAAACATTTTATACTTGATATAAGTCTTTGTGTGTTTATTTGGCTGTGGGTCCAGGCAGGACAGAAAGCTCCAACTTCACTTGGACTCACCCTTTGAAACTGTAAGCAAGTCTCCATTTAAATGGTTTCTTTTAAACGCTGCCTTGGCCATGGTGTTTTGTCACAGCAACTGAACAGTGACCAAAACACAAACCTCAGAATGAAAGGTATCAGGGCAGGCCACACAGAGCGACGTGGTAGGGACTGGCCTTGGGAACCCTCCTGCACTGGAAGACCACATGTGAGGGCAGAGAGAAGCCCCAGAAGACGCCTTCCAATTCGCCCTTTGCAACTGGGTGGCCAGTAGCACCCACTCTTTGGATGAGAGTGAGATCTCTTTTAAAAGGGAGACATGAGAGATTTGTGTTTTAGCCGCATAGGCCTGAGAAGCAGTTTGACCCCGCCCCCAAGCAGGGCTGGTGGTGAGTGCCTATGTGAGTGGATCTCAGAGAAGAGATGGGCCACAGACGAAGCCTTGGGTTGGTTATGCTGGCAGTGGGAGCCACAGCCTAGTGTGGGACTGACTAGAGCCGGAGCAGGGTCTCCCCGGGGTCTTGCCACCACAGGTCCTCACCGATTGTTCCAGGTCACTCTAGAAACCTTCTTCCGGAGCAGGTACTCTCTCAGAGCCTGGACGTCATGGAAGTGATCAGACAGGAACTGGAACAGCGTTCTTTCCTTCTGATTGCTGTCTGGGGTCCCCGATTTGCTTGCACTATGGATGCCCCTGGCTCTCCCATTCCATTCACGGGCACCCAGGCGCAGGAACTGGAGAAAGGGAGAGGGGGTGAGCCTGGAGGAGGAGTCTATCCCCAAATCTTACACCATGACTTTTAATCTCACCCCTGTCCTTCTCGAGTCTTCTGGAAACCTGGCAAACCGCCCAGTTTTGGGTAGCTCAGCTGTAGAGCCCCTATTTAATATTCACAAGGCGCTGTGGTCAATCCCAGCATTGTCCACTCCCTCGGTTCTTACCTTTGGGATTCCAGACATTTCTCCAAATTCTCCCACTTAACCAAACATAAATAATTTCCTTAATGCAGCCAGTCTTGGGTTTTTCAAAATCTTTGAATTTTCCACCACATCCTTATTTTTTCCCCCAAGCTCCCTTTATACCTTAATTTCTCATCAATTCATCTTTTTTGGGATGCGTGGCATATGCATCCCTGTGTATGTTTATTTAAATGTGTGGGTGTCCATGCACACATGTGCCTTGCATGGAAGCTAGAGGTCTTCCTTAATTGCCATCTACTATATATACCGAGGCGGGGTCTCTCACTTGTACCTGGCGCACCTCAACTCAGCTCCTCTGGCCAGTTTGTCCGAGGAATCAACTGTCTCTACCTCCAGAGTGCTGGGACTGATCACAAGTGGGCAGCCACGCCTGGCTTTAACACCTCTGGTGCTCATTCGCTTTAACAATAAACCATTTCCCTGGCACACATTATTTTACCCAGCTCTCCCCAGGGCCTTGCGGAACACCCAATTTCTTGGGCGCCCCTCCGTTTCCGTCCGTGTAACCTTCGCTGTCAGAGGCAGCGATGGGGATGGAACAGTGAGTGTCAACAAAGGTTAACTTCACTTTTTGGTCTTCACCCCCAATCCCAGGCCCTCGTCCGGTCCGTCCTTGCAGGTCAGACTCTGCCCGCTCTCCCAGGACAAGCCGTCCTAGTCCTCGATCAGCCCGTCCGCCCTCACCCATTGGTTTCTCTCCCAAGCGTAACCCAGCGCGCCCGAGGCCTCAGTGGCCCCTGACAGCCCCACCGGCGCCCCCAGCGCGAGGCCCGCGGGAGTCCCGCCGTCCCCGCAGCTTTGCCTCCCTGCAGGCTGACCGAGGCCTCCACGGCGGAGCCGCCCAGGGAACTACAGTGGGGGCTCCAGGCGCCGCGGCCACCTACCGCCCTGGGCGCCGCCATGTTGCCGGTGACGTAAGCAGAGGGGCGGGGCTTCCGAGCATAAACCACTCCGTGGCCACGCCCCTTCTGTTTTTAGCCCGCCTTTTAAAGGCGCACATGCGCTTGAACCCTGTTGGTGTGTTCCCAGCTCCCTCTCTTTAAAAGGGACTCTTCACACCCTCTAGAGAGGGAGGAGCGGTCTTTTCTCTTGGGGAGCTTCTTCTCCTGACTGTGGTAGCAGCTGTGCCCGCCCCTTTTGTACCTTTGCCCTCTTGGCTGTAGCAACTGGTTCTCTGTCTCCTCGCCCTTCCCCTCCTCCTCCCCCCACGTGGCCCAGCTCAGTCTGGCCCTGTCCCTGCCTCTGGCTGTGTTCTCCACATCTGTACACTAGACTTTCTCCTTTGCCATACCTAGGGGCCGCCATGTCCTTTCCTTTTTATTTTTTCATTCTCTTATTTTAACTTTTGTCATTGCGTGTCTACACGCCCACATGTCATGGTGCACCTGGGGACATGAGCAGAACGAGGGCCCAGGAAGTTTAGGAGTTTAGGTCCCCTAGCTTGCACCACAAGCGCCCACGGAACTGTCTGGCTGGTCCTATCATCATTAGAGTTTTAAATTTAAATTTTAAATTTAAATATGTGTGTGTTTGCCTACACGAATGTTGTCTGCACCAATACCTTGAAGAGCAGACAAGGACACTGGATCCCTGGAGTTGGAGTTGCCAGCTACCCTGTGTGTCCTGGGAATTCAACGCAGGTCTTCTGGAAGAGCAGTCAGTGCTCATAATTGCCAGGAAGTCTTCAACCCAGCCGGTGTTACATTTATTTTGTGTGTTTGTTGTTTGCTATCAGGATCAGGCAATGGAAGGGTGAGTTGGGTAGCCAGGTTAGAGTCCAGTGTAAGAGACTGCCTTTAGTTTGGGATTGACATCTAGACTGCCCCCCACCAAATTCTTTGTAGCTGTGGAGCCTGTCCTGGAACTCGCTCTGAAGTCCAGGCTGGGCTCGCACTCACAGAGATCCACCGGCCTCTGCCTCCCGAGTGCTGGGGCATGGAGCCACCAGAAAGGCCTCTGCAGCAGGGGCATTTAATTGGAATGAATGCCGGAAAAGAAAGAGGAGCTTAAAGGTTTGGAGTAACAGTGTTCAGGCAGAGATAACAGCCAGGGCCTAAGCCCTGAGGAGCCACCAGCTGGCAGAGAGGAGGGCAGTGGAGCTGTGGGTGCAGGTCCAGTAGGGTTTTCTTCTTCTCACAGAGGGAGAGAGCAGTCTCAGCATCTGATTTACATGTTGCAGAGGACAGGGCTGGGCATGAGACCAGCAAAGAGGCCTCTGCAGGATTGCAGGCCGGTGAATACGAATGGGGGAGGGGGCAGCGGTGAAGACTGCCAGAGAGAAAAGCCTGAGAAACAAAAGGTGCCAGGGGCTGGAGAGGTGGCTCAGAGGTTAAGAGCAGGGGCTGCTCTTCCAGAGGTCCTGAGTTCAATTCCTAGCACCCACATGGTGGCCCACAGATCCCATCTGTCACGTCTGGTGCCCTCTTCTGGTCTGCAGGCACACATGCAGGCAGAACACTGTACATAATAAAGTGGGAGCAGTGGGTGGGTTTGCCAGCTGGGCTGAGTCCATCACAGTGGGGACGCACGGGAGCATGTGGCAGGCAGGCCTGGCATCAGGAGCAGGAAGCTGAGTGTTCACATCTACAGCTCAAGAGCAAAGCAGAGGAAGCAACTGGAAATGATGAGACCTGAAACTCTCAAATCCCACCTCCAGTGAGGCTCTCCTCCAGCACGGTGGTTCCTCCCAAAGCTCCCCAAGCCGCCACGGACCACCCAACTGCCCGAGCCCATACTCCATGTTACTTCATGCGCCAGAAGACACCCCCTCCCACATCCGACTGCCCATCCCCTACTTAGCAGTGTACTTATTGCTTTGTAGCCCAGCCTGGGCTGGAACTTGTAATCCTCCTGAGTACTGAGATCAAAGCCACCAGTGCCCACCAGTGCCCAGCCAGTTTAAGGACCTTATCGTGGGGACTGGGTGGGGCTGGGGGAGCTTGAAGGTCTTATCAGAAGGACAGCAGTACTGTCAACAGGACTCAGTTGAAGGATCGGAGTCATGCAAGGAAAGGAGGTAGGTGATGGGGGATGTCCTTCTGTGTGCTGTGAATGTTTCTCTTATTGGTTGATGAATAAAGCTACTTCAGCAATGGACAGGCAGGATGTACCCAGGCAGGAAGTCCAAACACAGATAGAGAAAGGTAGTAGACAGAGTCAGGGAGACACCTTGTAGCTGCTGAGGAAGCCAGAGGTCTGGGCATCATCAGCACGCCAAGTAGAGATACCCAGATTAATAGACATGGGTCAATGATTAAGAGAGAGCTAGCCAATAAGAAGCCCGAGGCAATAGAACAAGCAGTTTATAATTAATATAAGCCTCTGTGTGTTTATTTGGACTGCACAGCTGTGGGACCAGATGGGACAGCAACTTCCATCCACAGGTAGCCTAGAAGCTCTGAGAGTAGAGTGTGGGTTCTGTCCTAGAAGCAAGCAAGTCTAGTGTATCTACTTCATCTTTAGAATGGCAAGAGTTTAAGTCATGGTCTTTTCCCTGTTCAGTGATCGGGACTGAAGTGTGTGTGTGTGTGTGTGTGTGTGTGTGTGTGTGTGTCTGTGTGTGTGTGTGTGTGTGCTTGTGTGTTGGTGCTGGTGATGGGATAAGGGCTTCTTGCATGCCAGGTAAGCATGGGACCGTGGAGTTGCATTCTTAGCCTGAACCTAGAGCCTTGCTGACCTTAGTTAGGCATTCACTCTGTCACTGAACTACACCTCCAGTCTCTTGTGGGCTTTGATTTGGTTTTGATTTTGAGGCAGGGTCTCAAGGAGCACAGGCTAGTGGCTATGAATGGCATTGAACTTGAAACTCTCCTCTTTCTGTTTCCCAAGTGTTGGGGTTATAGGCATGTGCCACCATACCCAGTCAGTGTGACATGACATTGACACCGAACCCAGGACTTCCTGCATGCTAGGCCAGCCCTCCACCAACTGAGGCACATCCACTGATCCCTTCCCCCTTACATTTGGGTTTTGAGACAGGATTTCATTTTATTTCCTTGAAACTAAATATATAGATTCTGTTGCCCTCAAATTTGCTGTGACCCTCTTGTCTCTACTGGTCAACTAAGGTTCCCTCGCTTTTCTGTGGAAAAAAAACCCAAAGCTCTTTTTTGATGCATGTGGTGGTTGGAAAGAAAATGCCCCCCACAAAGGAGTGGCACTATTAGGAGGTGTGGCCTTGTTGGAGGAAGTGTGTCACTATGGGAATCGGCTTTGAAGTCTCTTTTGCTCCAATATTTCTCAGTGTGACTCAGTCAACTTGATAGGATGTTCCCCTGTTCCTCCAACATCATGTCTGGCTATTGCCATGCTTCCCGACACGATAATGAACTGAACCTCTGAAACTGCAAGCTAGCCCCAGTGCAATGTTTTCCTTATAAGAGTTCCCAAGCGCCGGGCGTTGGTGGTGCATGCCTTTAGTCCCAGCACTGGGAGGCAGAGACAGGCAGATCTCTGTGAGTTCGAGGCCAGCCTGATCTGCAGAGTGAGTTCCAGAACAGCTAGGAATACATAGAGAAACCCTGTCTCAACAAACTAAAACAAAACAAAAAAGTGTCTCTTCATAGCAATAGAAACCCAAACAGAGACTCTGTGTGTGTGTGTGTGTGTGTGTGTGTGTGTGTGTGTGTGTATGTGTGTGTGTATGTGTGTGTGTGTAGGTCAGAGGACAACTTGCAAGTCAGCTCTCTCTCCATGTGGGGCCTGGGGATTGAACTCAGATCATCAGGTTTGGTGATGAGCTCCTTTGCCCTCTGAGCCGTCTCTGAGGGGCCCTTGGATTGTTCTAGCTACCAAGATTGTGGTGATTTATTGCAACATCCAGAGGAAATGGATCCAGTAGGTGGGTTCGATCCTAAGTGGAAGCTTTCTTTGCTGAACACACTGACCTTGAGATGTGAGACTTGCAGTTAGACTCTGGGCTCATGGGGGGTAGCTGAGGTCTATGCCAGGGACCCAGGCATACTCATGGGCTTGTAGGGGTCAAGGCAGAGCATGACCTGGAGCAATCCCAGTCCTGAGCCCCTGGCAGTGACCCAATACAGGCATGTCCAAGGCTAGCAGACTGCATACTGAGACTCTTCAGGCACACCGGTGGACAGACAAGGATCGACTTAAGGGGCCGGCCAAGGTCGATCAGCTAAAGAAGCTGAGGAGTTGGGGCTGGAGAGGCATGAGGACTAGGAAGGAAGACAGCCTCGCTCCTTCAGGTGCTGAGCCTTAAGCACCATGTTCCCTGACCGGGTCAGCCTGAGAGACAGCAGTGTGAAGTTGGACCTCTGCTCAAGGCTATCTTTGGACCTTGTGGGATCATGGAGGTTGGACTCCAGAAGAGGGAAAAAAATGTGGTCAGCTGATTCCGAGTAAAGGGTGGACTTTGGGATGTCTCTGCCAGCCCCTCCCGACCTTTCTCCCCCACCCTCACCCACCCCCTCAGCCGCCCCGGGGACTGGGTCACTAGGACTTTGCCACTTCCTGCTTCTTGCTCTTCCTGTTCAGACTATGGAGCTGTGGGTGCAGCTGAGGCAGGCTGGACTGGAGGGCCTTGGATTGGGTCCACCCCCACAGGCCCTAAGGATGCCCCCGCCGGAGGGGAACCCTGGCCAGACCCTTATGTCCTCAGGGACAGAACTTGGGGGCGCCAGGGAGAGGCTGCTGTGGATCTGGGAGGAGTTGGTGAGTGAAAAGGCACCAGAAAGTCAGGAGATAGATATGGTGGGGGAGACTGTGAGTGAGTGTTAATAAGAATAGACACAGCCGACGATCAGCTAGGCCTGGTGGCTCCTGCCTATAATCCCGCCTGAGGCAGGAGAATTTCAAGCCTAAGGTCATGTGTGAAAGTAAAATAAAACAAGGGCAGAGGCAGGTAGTGCGGGGACAGAGCCTGCGGGTCGGGAATGGCGCCAGTGCAGGGGAGAA